GTGGCTGCACAAAGATTGCATTTACCTCTCCCAAGCCCATCTATATCGACGTAAAATTAGAGCAGATGATATAACTAAATGAACAGATGGATTCACATCAGCCAATAATCAGGATTAGTAATCATAATACTTCATCCAACAACATACAAACAAGCATTCCATTACTTACCAAACCTAAGTCTTCCCGGAGAAGAAAACAGCTATCTTTTCACTTTAGCTGTCTCCAAGGCTTACCAGTATATTTCATCTATGGATTGATTCTTTGAATCTTGACACATGCACAAGAATTAGGCATGAGTATTTTGGAAGAATTTAAAGTCTTTTCATTGACCAGTCTGGATGAGAAAAATTGTAAAATACCCACATACAGCTAGTAGCTTAAAATGCATTCACCCTTAGAATAAAAACACTATTTGCCTGTTATTGCATATACTGTGGATAACTCCTGTTGAGAGGAAAGTTTTGAACAACCACAGTGGAACACTTAAAAGGCACTACAGGCAAAACATGATCATCTTCCCATGGAAAGCTTCACATCATTTTTAGATATCTTAACTGTTTTCTTAAGGCTCGCACAATAGAAGAATAAATTGGAACAGCCCCTTAACTGGCACAATAGCTTGCCAGCCCAGTCAATAATCTCCAAGTTTAAAAAGTCTGAGAAGGATTTACTATGGTCTCACAGAGCCAAAGAAAGTGCTTTTAAAGACAAACAAACTACCTCCATAATTACACATTTGCAATGCCAGGCCCACTAAGTTTTAAGTTTTGTGTTGAGTATCTACTTAGCTGTGTGTAGCCAATAGAAAAAATTGCTGGCATCATTTTCTAAACTGAGGTGGGTAAAGACATGATGCCATGGGTGAGCAATAAAAGACAGGGCTAAACCTGTGCTCAAAGTGCTGAAGTAAGCTGTTGTAGTCCTATTAATAAAAATCAAAATTACTCTACAATAACGCAATGACACTGCTTGATCCGCGTCAATATTGCATCCTGAAGTTATTCCTCAAATGTCACAATTTTTAAATTTTAAAAATTTATCTGAAATGAAACCATGAGATGGTGAAGAGGGATAAGGGAGGGGACATATTTTGGTTGTATCAGTGTAACTGAGAAAAAACAAACAAGCAAACCCTGAATTAAAATTTATAAGAGATACTTCCACCCACTTGTATTGTAGTACCCTGGGGTGAGCAAAAGGGTGAAAATGGAGTCCGGCCACCAGCCGGATCCGGATCCAGATCCGGCCCACGAGACAGTTTGCTTGCCCCTGTACTACCCCAAAACCTCATTTAAGAATCTTGGTCACAGGGTGATAGGAACTATAAACAAACAACAGACAAGATGGTTCACTGGCACAAAATCTAAGTACCATTTGGTAACATTAAACTGAATTTCCCTCCAGTTACGGAATTAAGACATGGCCCAATATGACTAGAGTCCAGTTTCTAGGGAAGCTAAATAAGCTTTTATGTACTTGTAGTGCCAAGAGTAGTCATCTATAGATGAAAGAATTCCATTCTTACTCATCTTCATGTCAAAAATAAACTGAACAACTCCAGCTCTAGAATGTGTCACACTACAGAATTCACTCTGGATCTGTACAACTAATTTCAACAGTAATACAGTTACCTCAAGTCTCTGAATCAGTTTTCAATCTAGTTAATATCCTTAATTTAGAATATCTATGTTTTCCAGAAACAATCTAACATGCAATGCTGGTATATATGAATTACCAATTACCCTGTGCCTCTTAGGACGGCGGTAAGAAACAAAATACCTACCAGGAATAAGAGTGTTACATTTCAAAAGCACTGTAAAAGTGTTAATGGAGCCTCACACTTATCTATCACACAGGCTTGTTAAGTATTACCCCATTTTACAGACAGGGAAACAGGCAAAGATAAAGTTACTTGCCCAAAGGCACACAGACCTAGGCACCAGCAGAAGTTGGATTAGAACTCAGGAATGTCTAATTCTCAGGCCTTTGTTTCTCCGGCCCATATCATAAATTGCATTTCTTTAAAATTTTTCCGACTTTGTAGGAAGAACAAAATTGCCAAAGGTTTACGTTCTTTTTCCGCCAAGTTCAGTATTTATTCAAAGTGTCAGTTTATCAAAAAGAATACAAATATGTTTCGCAATAAGACCAGAAAGTACAGCTATGTAAAAATGTACCAACAGCAGGGGGTACCTGTTTGTTAATCAGAGTAGTTATAAACTGTTTTAGGATTAGTATCCCAGCAAATCACCTTGTCCACAGAGAAAGTTCTGGCTTAGAAAAGGTATTTTGGCTTTCCAGTCTCAAGCATAAAGATAAAATCAAGTGTTATGTATGGGTTGTAATCAATGTACTAACTGTTGTATGATGCCTCTACTTTTGGAAGGAGCTGCTTGTTACCCCTTTTAAGATACCACCACAACACTAAAGAATGAAAGAATGGGAAGAGGGGTAGACTCAAGGTCAAGAGAATAAAAAGTTTAAACTCGATTTTCAGGCTTTCCTCCAAATAGAAAAAAATGTCAGAGAATGAAGAAAGCAATGATTAAAAAAAAAGTAGTCCCATTTTTGAGCAAAGGTTTTTAAAATTCTAGCATGTGAACAGTTTAGGGAAAATAAATAAAAGTATTTGGCCTTGATTTCATCATGACATCACAAGACAGGTTCAGGCAGATTAGGCCAGGAGTAAAATTCTCAGCAATTCTGCTCATCTTTGCCTTAGTTCATAAACATGTTAGAAAGAAGACTAATAAAAATATTTCTAAATGTAAATAGCTAAAGCATCTCAGCAGATCTTATTTCTTGAATGCAGTGAGCTGTCTATGACTCGTCTTACAGGAAAGAGAAAGGATAGACATAATTGTATACCCTATACTTTTAAAAAATAATGATTTAGACTCTAAATTAATTATATATGTAAAGCCACATACACACACCCATCATACATAAGAATACACCAAATCATATCTGCTCAGCTGGCAGGTAATTTGTTTCCATTCACATACTATTGTATTTTAACATCCACTATTGAAGGAATAGAACTGCCAGGGCAGTAAGATAACTGGTATAGCTCCTTGCCAGCCAAGTGCCAGGCATTTTACAAAAGGTAATTAAATATTGGCACCTAAGAGGCAAATGAAGTGCATCTTTTTACTCTATTTTACAAATTTGGAACTGAATCACAGAAAGGTTGAGAGACCTGCCCAAGGTCCTTAGCATGAATTGGAAGTTGAACTAGAATACAGATATCCCAGCACACAATCCCCAATGAAAGGAGTATAGACCAGTGCTTCTCAAAGTGGTGGTCCGCGGACCGGAGCCACCGGTCACCGGTCAGCAGTGAGTTGCCAGGAAAGAAAGAAATATATTCGCCGGTCCTCAGCGAGTTGCCAGAAAAGACAGAAATATATTTTCAGAAGCATAAAATTGATATGTCATAGCTCCACAGTTCATACGTTCCAACACTCCAGGTGACGTCACATTGTGCGAGGTGAGGAAAGAGAAAGAAACAGCTGGTCACGCATTTGTGTAGTGCTGTTACACGCAGTTGCTGCCACTGGCTGAACCAGGCACCGGTCCCTGGCCCACTGGGAAAAAAAATGGCTGGGCCGCCCCAACAGATAGTTTGAGAAGCACTGGTGTAGACCATCCAACGGGGGGGCTCATGGGCCACCTGCAGCACCCAGGCTCCCACCCAGACACCACTCACCACATTGCTCTGGCTGCAGCAGCAACCAAGGACTCCAGGTTTCCCTTCCCTCCTCTAGCTCCCGCCCCTGCCCCTTCCCCAGGGGGGCACTACAGCACATCTCACCATGCCGGTGGGAAGAGGGGGTACCTACACAGCAGCAACCCAGGAGGCCTGTAGCCCCCACTGTTGTGGTCTATGGGGCCTCCAGACATTTAGAAGTCGGGTGGCCCTGGTATACCTAACCAGAAAAATCTAGCTGGAACAAAACATAGGTTCTTGTATAAAGTTTCTCAGTCGTGCCAACATACCTCAACTTTGACCTGCAGAGACCATCTTTAGATACATGAATGCATTTGGTTTCCATGCTCAAATCACCTCTTGGCTGAGATTGTCAGCAAGGTTGCCAATTGAGAACAGTATTTTAAAACTGACAAGAGACCTCCAGATCCTTTCATGTACACCAAAATGACATCAGAAATACACTAGTAGTTATCAGCTTGGTAAGGATTCAGTCCCATGACCTAAAAGGAAGATATTCTATACCCCATCATCAACAATTTTCTGAGCTAATTGCTCACTCTCTGCATTTCTAAATCATATTTTCAGCCCACACATAAAATGCAATTGACAAGACAATTACTACCATAGACTAAGCTACACTTCAATGCCTGAATAAAAATGTGTCAGATTCAATTAAAACCAATGTGTAAAAGCAGAAGAGAATGTAACATTGATAGATATGAGCCACCAACCTCCCAGTATGATAACACATGCAGACTGTTCTTAATATTGTTTCATGATGTTTACAAAGACATGTTCAATGAAAGTTAGCACACTGTCAGATAGCCTTATTTGTTTTTGTAAATCTTCCATCATAAAAGAGAGCAAAAGATTTCATACAGAAATACTGTAATTAGTTTGTTTGTTTGTTTTAAGTTAAATTGTTTCAGGGTGTAAAAGCTCCAAGTCCATCCTGCAGCAAACCAATAAAAAAGCTAGCTTTGGAGCAGACTTAGTTTTACTGACACTGTATCTGAGACCAGTCAAGGTGGAAAGTTTGCCTATAAGAGTCATCTAGCCAAGCAGCTGCAGTTAACTTTATTCCGTAGGAATCTTACTTCAGCAGATCTTATTCAAGTGGCACATGTACATCAGAGATGTGGCACACACCACCACCTCCATTTCTGTATTAAACCCTTCTCAACAAGTATGTACTAAGGAGGAAGCAACATCAGCTAAGGAGGAAGAACATCAGCCTAGCACAGAGCGCAACTGAAAAGATGCAAATAGGATACAAGAACCACTTACCACTTTCTAAATATTAAAAAAAACCCAAAATTTAGATTCTTAGTAGAAGATAGTCCACTATGGACCGTGGGGGTTGAAAATGGATGCCCGACTGTAAGTTAACTAGCCATTTTGAACTGACGCACCCATCTGACGGCCACTGCAATGCACAGCCTTCCTGAGCAGAAATAGCACTGCACATACAAAGGCAGGTGAAGTTAGAGAGCACTGGCTGCGTGTTCATTTATAAGCCCAAGGCGGAGCAAAACACATCAGCCAAAAAAAAAAAACCCCGGGGGGGGGGGGGGTTAGTGAGAAATAATTGGTTAACTTCCACGGATGATTTCAAGGAGGTGAGTGCTAATGGGAATGGGCTATCACAGGGCACATGATTCACCCCAGCCCGGTCTGACTTCAGTGGGGTTATTTCACGCGGACATCAGAGCTCAGAGAGAAGCAGGGGGGCTGCAAGGGCCCTCCAGAGGTCACCTGCTCCGACCCCGCTGAAGGCCGGTGTGGCCCAGAAAGGACGCGGCTGCCCCGGTCCTGTGCACAGGTCCGTGCTCGCTCCCACGCCCTTCCCAGCCTCACCTCTCCCGGCTCCTCGCTGCCTGCCCGGTCGAGCCGGAGCTCCCCGCAGACCCCTGCCCCAGGCTGGGACGAGGACCCGCTCCTCTCGCTAGCTAAGAGATCAGCTCCGGGATCGATTCACTTGCAGCCCCTGCGCCGTCTATACAGAGCAGCTGCGGTCAGCGCGGCGCCCGCACGTCCCGGCGCGAAGCCGCCTGGCGGCGGGACCGGAGCCAGGGGCAGGTGAGAGCCCCCTGGGCCGGCACGTGGGAGCTCCCCGGGCCGCCGGCAGCGCACGCACGCACTCACCGCCGCGGCATCCCGCTCCTCATGGTGCCCCTGCC